AGTGGTACTTTTCTTTAAAAATGTGTTACATTTGTTTCTTTGTCTTACCAGGTGTGATCAGTGGTAATGTGTCTAAATTTTATTAGTATTCTGTGTATAATTGACTTCTATGCAATTATGTGCCCTGAAAATACTTCATGCTTGAAGATTTTCAACATTGGGTAGCCATATGCTATTGGCATGATTTTACAGCACAAGTTCCTAATGTTGTTGAGAGGAACAAAGAAGTCACCTGCATTTTTTTGTCATCGTAAATCCCAACCAAACCTAGGGCTATCACATGGAAATCTAATAATGTTTGACCTATTTGTTCAGGGTTTCAATAGTACAACTTCTGCCTTTTTTTTTTTTTGCCAGGCAGAGTGGACAGTGAGAGAGAGAGACAGAGAGAAAGGTCTTCCTTTGCCGTTGGTTCACCCTCCAATGGCCGCTGCGGCTGGTGCGCTGCGGCCAGCGCACCGCGCTGATCCGATGGCAGGAGCCAGGTACTTCTCCTGGTCTCCCATGGGGTGCAGGGCCCAAGCACTTGGGCCATCCTCCACTGCACTCCTTGGCCACAGCAGAGAGCTGGCCTGAAAGAGGGGCAACCGGGACAGAATCCGGCGCCCTGACCGGGACTAGAAGCCGGTGTGCCGGCGCCGCAAGGCGGAGGATTAGCCTAGTGAGCCACGGTGCCGGCCCATATATTTTCTTATAATCAGAATAAAAAGGAGCTAGTGGCTCAAAAATGAGGTAGCAGGAGGTAGTATAACACCATTTCAGTTTGGAATAGGCTAATCTGATTTAAGATTATAGGGGATAAACAATAAAAAGAAACAACACCTCCTACTTGAGATGACCTAGTACCTCAATCTTCTAAAATATTTTTTTAATTCACTTTTATTTCTGTGAAAGATAGAGAGACAGAGACAGAGCTCCCATCCACTAGTTTGATTCCTAAATGCTACTATATCTGGGGCTGGGTCAGGCCAAAGCCAAGAACTGGGAACTCAAATCCAAGTCTCCCACATAGGTGGCAGGGATCCAACCACTTGAGCTATCATCTGCAGCTTCCCAGGGTACATGGTAACAGGAAACTGGAGTGGGAAGTACAGCAGGGTGTTGAACCCAATACTGGATGAGGGCAGGCGTCTTAACTGCTGTGCTGAATTCCCAGCCCACCAATCTTGAAAGATGAATACCAAAAGCAATCTGGGTTTAGGTCTGCCAACTTTGGTTTTTCACACAATGCTTGTCTAGAACAAGACAGGGCAGCTGATTCTGTCCAGCAGCACAGGCTTGGAAACCCAGGCAAATGCTTCCTGGATATAAAATTGGACTTTAGTTCCACTTCTGAGACCACGATTACCTCATGTAATTGCTTAGGATTTCCCATTTTCTGCCAAATGTTAAAGTTGGACTTGATGATTTCTCGAGTGCCTTTCACCACTACCTTCACTGATTCTGAGATTTCAGAATAGAAAAAAAAGTCAAGCAAGACGAAAACCAAAGGCCAAAGGAGTTTAGGGTGGGGAGCTGGACTGGGAGAGCCAGATTTTTCACCTTTCTAGGACACAGTTCTATGGTCTGAATTCTTTTCAAGCAGGCAGTATTGTAACAATAAAGCAAAGCCAGCACTTGCTGTGTCCCTTGAGACCCAAACCAGGGCTTGCATGCTCATTCGTTGCCCATACAACATAGCACTTTGTTTCCTCATGGTGCCTTCTGAAGATCTCAAAGAAGGGCAAATGAGAGGCATTCATGTTGCTGTAGGGTATGCCAACAGCTGAACTTTCTCTATCACAAACTCCTTTCCATCAGGAACCACATCCTAACCCCTTGAGTAGTACCCAGGAACAGGTTGTGAGAACCACTAAAAGCTGTTTACCTGACACCCAGAAACATGGTTATTAAATGTAGACAACATGGTATCTCATTTATTTCATGGAATCCTGTCAAATATGGAAACAGAGTTCCTAGTACTGCTTGTGTTTGAGATTTACAAAAGCCCAACACTGGCGATCTTGGAAACTGTGTGGCGTATCTGATAGAAGCCTAGAGGACTGGATTTGTTCTTGCTTGGCTGGCTAAGTCTTAGTGAGGAGTAGCTTAATGTAGTAAAGGAGTCAGACAACCGTGTACTTGTGAGAAGCTTGAGTCTCGGCTTCCTCACATGTAAAATGTATGAAATTAGGTTGAACCATACCAAACTGCCACTTTGTCAGCAACCACAAGTCATCTTGCCCCAGGGCACTTCGCTGAGTCCCTAAGCTAAGGACAACACAAACTCCCCAGCTCCACCCCTCAGAAACAAAAACACAAATCAGCCAACCAGGAAGAACTGCTGCACCATGGGAAAACTACCCTACCTAAGAATGGACGTCGCTGCAGGTGTACACCTCGGATTGTAAGTCAGCTGTCCTGTCTGCCTGCTGCTCCCTGCAGCCTGCTCATACTGACAGTTCTGGTGAATTCTTTCACCACCCACGATGCCAGCATCACGACACTGATTTTATGAGATGACAAAGATAATGCACTTATCCTATGGCCAGCACGTTTTACAGCCTCTCAGTAAACGGAAGCCATAACATTTTGATTACTATTATTAACAACTGTCGAGGAAGGAGAACACTGAGCCATGCCTTCCCCCCAGCTGTACTGTTTAGCCTCTCAAATTTCCTTTAATCAAAGCTCTCAGGATCTGTTCCCTGGCAAGGCAGGACACATTTGGAAACACTGCCACACAGGACACCACGTTTTCACTTGCCACTGCCACACACACATACACACACATATACACACACACACAGGAGAAATAAATTCGAGCACTCCCTGGAATCACAGAAAAACTCTTTTTAGCCAAGCTTACACAGAACACCGGTGACCACATGGCTTCTTGGATTACTCACCTCTAAGAAGCTTTTAACATAATGTCCTTCATCAAGAGTAACTGGAGCTACAAAATAAAGCCTTAAGAACACTGCTTTTGGCAAAACAATTGGTATAAGCAGTCAACCTTGAAAGAGGAGGCTTTAGGTCAGTTGCCAAAGCCTTTGACACCCTGAGCAGCTAGAGCGAAAGGTGCTTCCTACACCACAGTCCCTACAGCGGAAGCTAGCAAGCCAAGATGCACGCAAGTCAGGCTCACAGCAGGACAACATATATTGTGTTCCCTTGCTTAACAAGGATATGGGTCACTGAAAGTTACAGCGGTTCTCCAGTAACAACCTAATGCAGAATGCAGGAAATCTGGTTTGACAGCGATCCAGGGGACCCAACAAACAAGAAAAGGCAGTTGCCAACACCTATGAGAAAACTTCAAAAGTCTCCTGAAACAATGGAATTGAAAGTATGAGTTTGTTTCAGTTCAAAAAATTTTTCCTCACAATACATGCAAAGAGTGCATTACGAAGAAAAACAATACTGCATGGATTTCAAAAAAACTTTGTATACCAAAATACACTTAGATTTTTAATTCCATTTTTCCATGAACTTTTTGACGTACTCTCCCAATACAATTTCTACAGGTTCCTTGGCCCCTGTGTAAGGAATGTTTGAAAGATCACTGAAAAGACTTTTTAACAAAATGACAAATCACCTTGCATGGGCTGATGATCAGAAATCTCAGTAACTCAATGCTGCCCTAGTAGTCCAAATACTCATGGGAAAAGGATGGCAGGGCTCCAGAAACCAAACCAAAGGAAGATGTGTCTGGGAAACTGCCACACTCCAAATAAATTCTGGCATTGTCTGCAGGCTCTATGAATTGACAACTCTCCTTAGACTCCAAGGAACGTCCTAGTCTTAGAAACTCCAGCACGTTAGCACTAGGAGCAAGGTTTATAGCACTGAGTAGCCCCAAACTGGAACAAAACGGATCAACCAACAGTAGGATACACCACAACGGAATACCAGGCAGCAATGAAAATTACCTGTATTTAATACTCGTTGAATGCCACCAAAAACCCACAAGAGGCTTCCACTCATAAACGTCCCAGTATAGGCAGAGGACAACTATATTGCATGCACACATACGTGGCAAACCTACTGTGATTATCACGCAAGTCAGACTAGGGAGGGAATCAGGCTCGGAAACGCATACACAGCTACGGGGGGGGGGGGCAGGGAACTCCTGGGGTTCCAGCAGTGCTTTTGGCTTTTATCGGGGTGTTTCATCTACTCTCTAAACGCGTATGTCGAATGCACTTTTCTGCAAAGGCTACATCGCTTAAAAGGTCGGGAACGATGCACAGGCCCCGGGAACCGGCGGGGTCCGCGCGGCTCGGAGAGCTGGCGCCCGGCCTCCCGCACTTGAGGCCAAGCTTTGAGGGAGTCGGGGCTCCGAGCGACCCCAGAAGGAAACGGGGGGAACTCTCCTCACCGCCGGCCCAGCCCACCTAGGACCTCCGAGACGCCCACCGTGCCCGCCTCCACAGTCTCCCGGCGACTCCGGACGGGAACGGGGCGCTGCTGGGGCCGGGCCCCGGGGATCCTCAAGGAAAGCGGAGGCTTGGGTCCGATCAGACTCCCCCGGCCCGAGACGCCTGGGCGGCCGGGAGGCGACCCCGGACTGCGCCGCCCGCCCTCTCGCGGTCCAGATCCGGGGGCGTGGCCGGCCACGCGCCGGACGCCCGAGGCCGAGGCCGGGGGGAGGGGGCGCGTACCTCTCCACCGCGGAGGAGCTACCTCGCCAATTCCCGGTGACAGAGGACACAGATTATTTCTGGGGACTGCCCCGCCAGCCCTCCCGGGCCACCACTAGCTTGTCCCCTTTTTACTGTGGAGTGTGGGCACCGGCGCACGCGCACTGCGAGCTTCCGTGACGGCGCGCCGCCGCCGCCGCCGCCGCGCGCGCGCCATGACACGCAGCGGTCTGTGACCGGCCGCGCGCGCGCACGCGGAGGCAGGGCCGGGGGCGGGCCCGCAGGAGCGCGCCTGCGCGCTGCGGCTCGCCCGTCGTTCGCTGGAGGAGGGCTGTGGGCAGCGGGGGGGCGGGGACGCGGGGCGGCGGGCGTGGCTCGGGGGTGGCGCGCGGCGAGCGCGCGCGCCCAGATGAGAGGAGCAGGAGGGGCGCGGGGGTGACGGTGCGGAGCCGCTGCCAGCGCCCGGGCGAGAGCAGGCGGTCGGGCCCCAGCAGGAGGTGGGCCAGAGGCCAGGGCGGCTGCCGGGACCCTGCGGACGGCACCCGCACCGCGTCGCGGCGGTTTCTGGCCTGGTGGAGAAGGCGTTGCCGAGCCCCAGCGGGGGAAGATGTTCAGCGTGGAGTCGGTGGAGCGGGTGGAGCTGTGCGAGAGCCTTCTGACTTGGGTACGTGGTGCCGCCGCGGCGCTGGGAGACCCTCCGGCTCCCGCTCCGGGGCCGCTTTTCCGGGACCCCCCCCGCCCGTCCCGGGGGGCGAGCGCCGCGGGCGCCGGTGCCGTCACATCCGGGGCCTGAGGCGGTCAGGGCCGGGGATGCGGGTGCGAGCGGCGTCCGGGAGAAACTTGCCGGGCCCGGGGTGTGGGGTGTCGTCCGGGGAGGCTAATGACGGGGTGCGGGCGCGCCGTCACTGGCACCGTCGTTGTCTGCCGCTGCGCGGGCGCTGGCGCTGCTCGCTCGGCGCGGGGACCCCCGAGGCGGGGGGCCCCGGCTCGGCCGGGGTGGGGAGCGCTCGGGCCCAGGGTTCCGCCGCTCGCCGCCTTTGTTGTAACGCTCCCGAAGGACGTGCCCGCCGCGGCGGAAGAGAGAAGTTCCTTTGAGGTCGGGTGGGAAAAATAGGAAAAAACAGATAATAAAAGGCGCCCGGCGACGGCGTGGGTCGGACGCCAGATGCGCCCGGGCCGTTAGGCAAGCGGGCGGTGGGGCGGCATTCGGGAGAGATCCCGAACGTGAGGCTGGAAGCGGATCTGCAAGGTGCGTGGCAGGCGGTGGAACCCGGAGGCGTCTGGGGAGTCCCGGCGCTGCGGGATTCCGACCGCGAAGGGCCGGCCGGCCGCGGAGTTCTGGCGTTTGCAGAGTCTGTGTGCGCGCGCGGTTCCGGCGCCTGGAGCAGCCTGTTTAGGAGTAAACTCCTGCTCTGGCCTTTCTCACCCTCTGGCTGGGGCGAGCCCGGTGCCCCCTTCGGGAGCGCGGGTTTTACTCATCGCTACACATGCCGGGTGACCTTTCTAGAATAGCACACAGACGTATTTATGGAGGTGACTGCCGCGTTTGTGTTCGTTTTAAAGACAGACCACTAACGTGAGGGAAGTTCTGTTTAGTCTGGGGTTACAAGTTCAGCTCCCTCTTCCTGTGCAGGTGTGAGAAGCATTCTCTTAGGTAGCTTGCTACAAACCTGATTAAAGCAGAATCTAGGGTTTTTAACGTGGCCCCGTCGAGGCATCACATTATGTCTTCGGAAACGTAGAGTATGTACAACCGTAGAGATCTATGCATTCACCGCGTTTTGTGTTAGACCATTCTTGGGACTTCAGAGAGCCCCCAGTAATACATAGCTAAAGTAGAACTTGCAACTCTTCCGTTCCGGCTTCCTCACTGCTCTATTTTAGAAGAGGAAAACTGATGTTGCATAATGTACCAGGGTTTGACTAGAGTGAGGAGAGCAGAGAGAGAGGAAAGCATTACTCCATTCTTTGGTATGGTGGAGGGAACCATGTATACAGAAGCCTGGGAATCTTTAGATTTACGGTTTAAATCCTGTACAAATAGTGCTAGAAAAAGGAGCAGGAAAGAAAAGATGAGGAAACGAATTGAATCTGAAGTGGTGCTGCACCATTTAAAGTCTTGCAAGAAAAGTCATGGAAATAAAGACATGTTTAAAGCTTATTTGCAAAAAGATGATAGTGCAGTTGGTTTGAGTGAGAAATGTTGATGATACAGAGGCAGAATCATAGAGGAAACTTTGAGGGGCTATCAACAGAACCAGACAGCATGGAAGCACCGATTTAGAATCTGAGAGAATGTCAAGACATGGGGTGGTAATATATACTACCTACTGCAGAGAGGTCCGGGAGTGCCATACTGAAATCCACTGGAACCCTCAAGGAGGAAAATTTCTGCAGAATAGAGATGAGCAGTGACAAAAGTGGAGGTCAGGGGCCACACAAAAAGCAAGATTTGAAAACACTTAAACTGAACATTGAAATGTTTCAAAATAAAGTTGAGTTAAAGTGCTGGACTTGTTCTCTTTTACCTGTCAGGATAGAAAGCTGAATAAAGGGTTTTTATGAATAATGGCTAAGGTAACAGAACATGTCCATCTAGTCTGTTAGTACCTCCTGTCTGGAGAACAGATAAATGCTGAATACAATTCCAAAACCAGTTGTGGGGCTGGTGCTGTGGCACAGCGGGTTAACGCCCTGGCCTGAAGTGCCGGCATCCCACATGGACGCTTGTTTTGGTCCTGCTGCTCCACTTCCAATCCAGCTCTCTGCTATGGTCTGGGAAAGCAGTAGAAGATGGCCCAAGTCCTTGGGCCCCTGCACCCTTGTGGGAGACCCAGAAGAAGCTCCTGGCTCCTGGCTCCGGATCAGCACAGCTCCGGCTGTTGTGGCCATCTGGGGAGTGAACCAGCGGATGGAAGACCTCTCTTTCTGCCTCTCCTCTCTCTGTGTAACTCTGACTTTCAAATAAATAAAGAAATCTTTAAAAAAAAAAAAAAAAAAACCAGTTGTAGGAGAAATGGATACAATGAGATACACTCCAAAGAAAAGACTGGCATTTAGAACAGTTTACTTTGTTTTACATAAGCTTCTACTCAGAGTGGTTGTGTGATTTTTTTTTTTTTTTTTAGCACATGGGGAGCTAGGGGGTGACTGCAGCACTCAGCAAATCCAAACAGCTGTCAACAGCAGAGAAGACCCAAGAACCGAAAGTGCGGTCTGGGCTAGTGTCACAACTTTGCTTCCACCATGTAGCAAGCATTTTGAGACTGGAGAGATAAACAGTACCTTTTAGAAATTCTTCACTGAGAATGGTTAAAATAATAAGTGACGGTATGACTCTTAGTCACCCATGATGTGGTTCTGTGGAACTGAATCTCATTGCCCCAAATGCTAGATAAATTGCCATTGTATAAAAGAGCCCAAGAACCATTTGTTCCACACTTTTGTTGAAGAGGAATACTTAAGAAAAGACAAAGTAACAAACTACCCTTGGAAACATTTTAAGCTTAAATTCCAAATCCAAGTTTATGCAGTAAGCAGGTTCAGCAGGATGTGCTTGAAAATTTTCATTGTACCTCTCCTCCCCACCCTCTGAGCCCATATGTACTGCAACTTGTTAGAAAATGTCTGCCCTGCTATTACACCTGTCAAGCTCAATTTCTTGAATGGTGCATGAATTGCCATGAAAGATTGCATTTTCCCAGCGTTTAGAAACTGGAAGACAAGAGTATCTAGAATATTACCAGATAATGACAAGAAGCTAAGTGAACTGAGTCATAGCATAGGCTTATTAGTGCCCTTGTGGGACACCTGGCAACTGAAAGTTATCCATGATGTTTTCCTGTAACTTACTGGCAGCCTCTAAATGACATACTGGTGATGATTAAATGAGGAAGTGTGCACTTATGTGGAATCGTCCCCATCCCACTCTTGGTCTTCTGCCAAGTCCATACTACCAACAATTTTGTGTCCTCCGTTGGGAGAATAAATAAATCACGGATTAGGGAGGGTGCTGTGACATAGCAGCTTAAGCTTCTACTTGTGACACCAGCATCCATGTGAGTGCTGGGTTGAGTCCTGGCTGCTCCATTTCTGAACCTGCTAATAGACCTGTGAAGCAGCAGATGGCTCAAGTGCTGGAGTGCCTGCACCCATGCAGGAGACCCCAGGTGGACATCGTGGCTCCTGGCTTCCACCTAGCCCAGCCTTGGCTGTTGTGGAGAGTTGGGGAGTAAACCAGTAGATGAAAGATCCTTCTGTCACCCTCCTTTTAAATAAATAATTTTTAAAAAGAAATTACTGGCGTATAGAAGTTAAAAAGGTTCAATATAGCATGACACTAAGAGGGCAGATTCTGATGTTAGACCACCTGGGCTCAAAACCTGATTTTGTTTCATATTAATTAGAGTAGCTGTTCTCATGCTTTGGTATTGAGTGGCACTGACTGCTGGCCCCACACCCAGAGGTTCTAATCTGTGGGTCTGACATGGGGCCTAAAATTCTGTATTTCTAACACGTTTCTAAGCCCTGCAACCATTTGTGATAGGGGGGGCCACATTTTGAGAACCATTGCCCTAAAACACGGTTTTGCCTCTACTAAATGCCAAAACCACCTACCTGGTGCTAACAGCAGAACTATCTTCCAGGAGCAGAGTGACCCCTGGTTGAAAATTCCTGCTCTGGGACACTCATTCCAGGTGGTCTCATGCTTTACTCCTACACTTGGGGCATGAAGGGAGGCGGAGGTTGGGTGCTATGAACAGAGTGGCTACCTTAAGGTAGAATTTTATACCTTCTTGAAGCTGGGTGGTGTTATCTTTTGGTTGTATTGTATTATTTTGAAATACTCCATCAGCGTTAGTTCAGAGGACTGGTATGGGGTTTTTTTAAAAAATAGAGATGTAAGGGACTGTGGCATAGTGGGTAAAGCTGCTGCCTGCGGTGCTGGTATCCCATATGGGCGCCAGTTGGAGACCTGGCTGCTCCACTTCCAATCCAGCTCCCTGCTATGGCCTGGGAGAGCAGTACAGGATGGGCCGAGTGTTTGGGCCCCTGTGCCCGCGTGGGACACCCGGAAGATGCTTCTGGCTCCTGGTTTTGGATAGGCTCAGCTCTGGCTGTTGTGGCCATTTGGGGAGTGAACCAGAGCATGGAAGACTTCTCTGTCTGTCTTCCTCTGCCTCTGCCTCTCTGTAACTCTGCTTTTCAAATAAGAAGATAAATATTTAAAAAAGAGAGAGATGTAATTTGTATGCCATAAAATTCATCCTTTTAAAGTATACAGTTTAAAAAAAAATGAAGTATACAGTTTATTGCTTTTGTAGTATGGTCACAAGGTTGTGTTATTGTTGTGTCTAATTCTGAGAACATTTTTGTCACCACAAAAGCAAGACTCTAGGGATAAATTTTCTTTGAGATCTACTTTACTTCTTTCTCAAAGCCAGAGGTGGACATCATGTATCTCTCATGAACAACTGTGCAGCTCAAAGGCTAATACTGAGAAAATAATGGTTTGGAAACCGTAGGGGCAGGCATTTGGTCCAGCAGTTAAGAAGCCCTCATCTCATATCAGAGTGCCTGGAATCAAGTCCTAGCTCTGTTCCCAATTCAAGCTTCTGCTAATGCAGACCCTAAGAGGCAGCAGGTGATGGCCCAAGTAGTTGGGTCCTTATCCTCTACAAGAGAGACTGTGTTGAGGTCTCAACGCCCTGCTTTGGACCCAGCCCCAGCCATTGTAAGCACTTTAGAAAGTGAACCAGCAGGTGGTCCCATAAATAAATAAATTTTTAAGAATCAAAGTAAAATTTAGCTTTCTATATGTCATAAAAAAAGAAATAAAGTATTTAAATTATTTGCTTTTTTTGAATTAATAGTTTCTTCTAATTGGCCAGAAGCAGTTTTCTAATCTTGTATCCTTATATTTGGTAGTACGTTAGATCAGAGGATTCCAAATGCCAAACCATCGCCTAGCTACATGAGAATTATTGGATGGGTTTGTTAAAAATAGATTCCTGACTTCCTGTGTGTGATGTGCATTTGGGGAGCACTGCTTCATGCTTTTAAAAATCCCTAATATGCTTTGTTTTTCTTGTTCAGTCCTTAAGCCACATACCCCTCCGAAAGTTATTTTTCCCCAGTCTTCACATGGAAAAACTGACTAAGAGAGATGAAAGTGGGGTGGGTATTATATCAGAATGCTTAGGTTTGAGTCCCAGTTCTGCTTCTGATTCCAGCTTTCTGCTAATCTTCATCCTGAGAGGCAGTGATCCTGACTTTGGCCTGTCCCAGCCCCAGGTGTTGCTGGCATGTGGAGAGTGAACTAGCAAATGGGAGATTCTCCCTCTCCCCTCTCCCCTCTCCCCTTTCCCTCCCTCTCCCCCTACCTCCCTGCTTCCTCCCTCCTTCCCTACCTCCCTCCTTTCCCCTCCCCCATTCAAGTAAACAAATAAGTAAAAATTAAAGCAACAAGTACCTTTGAAAAAGAGAATTGAGGTTATACATTTAAGGTTACACTGCAACTTAGGAGTAAAACTGGGGATTAGAATTAGTTCATTCCATTTGAAGCAGTGTTGACTGAGGGCCTGTTTGGTATCGGGCATTCTGCTAAGGTTCCTGATGCAGAGATAAAGGAGCCTTTTTCCTTCTAATCACACCTACAAGGTTCTGTTTTGTTTTGTTTTGTTTTGTTTTAGTGGGCCATTCTTGTAGCAAGTGTAACATGAGAACAGGTGCTTGTTTCTTTTAAAATAATTACCACCTTACCAGTGAGGAGGCGGTACGGGTAAAATTCAAAATCACTTCCTGCAGATGATGTTTATTTGTTCCACATTTTTGCTTAGTAATTTTTACTGAGCTTCTAGCATGTCAGGGGATGGCTTAGAAGGACTTTCTTATCATAACCTCTCCTGAATAGGTAACTTAAGTAAAAGCAAGTTAAGATAACTTGCTTCGCCTTTCCAGCTATAACTATTGCTACTCATAAGGCTCTGCTATATAAAATATGAAGGTGCTACAGACTGTACTTGTTGATAGTTCTTTTAAAAATATTTTTTGGTGGCCAGCGCCGCGGCTCACTTGGCTAATCCTCTACCTGCGGCGCCAGCACCCCGGGTTCTAGTTCCCAGTTGGGGCGCCAGATTCTGTCCTGATTGTTCCTCTTCTAGTCCAGCTCTCTGCTGTGGCCTGGGAGGGCAGTGGAGGATGGCCCAAGTGCTTGGGCCCTGCACCTGCATGGGAGACCAGGAAGCACCTGGTTCCTGGCTTTGGATCGGCATAGTGCCAGCTATAGTGGCTATTTGGGGGGTGAACCAATGGAAGGAAGACCTTTCTCTCTGTCTCTCTCTCTCGCTGTCTAACTCTGCCTTTCAAAAAAAATTTTTTTGGTGATTTTTTTTTTTGGGGAAGATTTATTTATTCATTTGAAAGACAGAGTGAGAATGAGAGTGAGGTTTTCTATTTTCTGATTTTTCTCCTGAGATGCCTAAACAGCCAGGGCTGGACCAAGCTGAAGCCAAGATCCAGGAACTTCATCCTGGTCTCACATATGGGTGGCAGGGGCCCAAGTACTTGGGCCATCCCTCTGCTGCCTTCACAGTTGTATCAGCAGAAAACTGGATAAGAAGCACAGCAGCTGGGATGCAAACTGAGAGATCCAACGCACTGTGCCACAACAGTAGCCCCAATAGTTATTTAAAAAAATATTTTATAAATGTTGTGATACAGTGGAGTGAACCAGCAGTTTTACTTCTTTCCTAACCCAATAAATAAATTAAAATGTGTGTGAAGATAGATGGTTCTTGAGTGTTACTCCCAATATTTCTATTGTCACTACCTAGTTTAGCTTCATCTGTATTAAATATTAACCTACTCAAATAGGGGCCCTCTTCTTTTCCTCTAGTGTTTTCATCGTCCTGCAACCAGTATGATCTTTTTTTAAATTTTTTTTAAGATTATTTATTTGAAAGGTGGAGTTACATAGAGGAAGAGGCAGAAGCAGAGGAGTCTTCCATCTGCTGGTTCACTCCCCAAATGACCACATGACTGGAGCCGCACTGATCAGAAGCCAGGAGCCAGGAGCTTCTCCCAGGTCTCCCACACGGGCACAGGGGCCCAAGGACTTGGGCCATCTTCAGCTGCTTCCCCAGGCCATGGCAGAGAGCTAGATCGGAAGTGGAGCACCCAGAGCACCCATATGGGATGCTGGCACTGCAGGCCGTGGCTTTATCTGCTGTACCACGGTGCCGGCTTCACCAGTATGATCTTTATACATTGCAAATCTCATGGCCTCACACTCCTCTTAAAATCCTTTGCTTACTCCCTATTGCCCCTAGGGGAAAGTCCAAAAATGACTTACAGGGTTTTTCATGAGCATGCTCCTTCCTTTAGCCCCACCTTTTACCAGTTTACTTTTGTCCCTGTTCCATCTCTTCCTCCAGTTCTCACTCTCCCACCCAGTCCATACGGAGCCTCTTTTCATTCCTAGATTGCATCCCACTCTCAATTCTAATTTTTGTGCTTGCTATTTATACTTCCTGTAACATGTTTCGTTTCACTAAACTCTTCGAGAGGATGGACTGTGTCTGTCTATTCGCAATAGTTTATTTCCTGGTTACACTACTGGTTTCTCTCTTCCTTTCTTTTTTTTTTTTTTTTTGACAGGCAGAGTGGACAGAGAGAGAGAGAGACAGAGAGAAAGGTCTTCCTTTTGCCGTTGGTTCACCCTCCAATGGCTGCCGCGGCCGGCACACCGCGCTGATCCGATGGCAGGAGCCAGGTACTTATCCTGGTCTCCCATGGGGTGCAGGGCCCAAGCACTTGGGCCATCCTCCACTGCACTCCCGGGCCACAGCAGAGAGCTGGCCTGGAAGAGGGGCAACCGGGACAGAATCCGGCGCCCCGACCGGGACTAGAACCCAGTGTGCTGGCGCTGCAAGGCGAAGGATTAGCCTAGTGAGCCACGGCGCCGGCCTCACTTATTTTTAGAGATTAGGAAAAGTGTAACGTGTCTCAGCCATGTTTTGTTGACTAGTGCACAAGTAGTTCTAGTTCAGAATATATTTGAAATCAAAATGAATTGAATAACCTAGCCACGGTAAGGTGACTTCCATGTACTTGTAATAATATCTTGGCTCTGAGGAACAGGAACCTTGACCTGGCTAGGCTTAAACAATAGAGAAATTTGTGTCACGTAATAGGAAGCTTCAGGATTTTTTAATTCAGGGATTCCATTTTTACCTCAAGTTTTTTCTACCCCTTCTTCCTGCCTCCCACTGCACTGGCATCATTCTAAGAGAGATTTCCTTAGAATTTGAAAGGTGACTACTAGCAGTGATTGAGACAGCATACTCATTCATATCAATAGGAGATTGGCTTTTCTTTCTCAGAGGGTCTCTGTCTCTGTCTCTCCTTAGTCCAGACTTTCTTTGCCCTTTTTATTCCTGCATTAGTCAGTAGTGGAGGGTTACTCTGATTTCTTATTCCTTAGACTGATCATCTGTAAGTAGAATGGGTGCTGGGAAGTCACCCATGTCTAGCACAATTTCTTTTACCAATGGAAAAACTAGCAATGACAATCTGCTGGAAATTTCCCATAAAGGAAAAAAAGGTCCAACTATTCTGTTTTTAAAAATTTATTCCAGCTCCCAGATGAGATCATCTCTCTCACACACACATGCATACACAAAGCCTGAGTAATGTTTATGTAGTTAACCATAGAATCTTTTTCTCTCTTTAGATCCAGACATTTAATGTGGATGCACCATGCCAGACTGTGGAAGATTTAACGAGTGGGGTTGTGATGGCCCAGGTTCTTCAAAAGATGTAAGAATAAGTGGTTTATTTTTAAGTATGTTCTTATATATGATATTTACTTGGTTGAAAACATGGATAACAAAATGTATGAAACTTATGTTTTATGTAGAATAAAGACCATAACAGCGGTGATGATTTTGATTGTGTGTGCTTGTTAGGAATAGATGGGTTGCAAGTTTAATTAGGGCTGTAATTGTTACACTCCAGTGGTTTTAGCAGAAGTATTTCTTGTACTTTTTGGCAGAAGTTTTCATGTCAGTGACCAGATTTTGCCATTGTAGCATGATCTGTTACTCCCTTTCTCTTTAGGATTTTGCTCAGATGTTGTCATAACACTGAGGCTTTCCCTGACCTCCCATATGAAATAGCACCAACCATTCTGCTATACTCTACCCCTTAACCTTTCATGTTCTTCAAAAAGTTTGTAGTATCATCTGATAATGTCATGTATTTGGTAGTTCATTTCTATAGTTCTTCCTCTTGCAAACATACACACAGAGAATACAAGCTCCCTACAAAGCCAGGAAATTTATTTTGTTCACTGTTGAGTCCCAGCAACTAGGAAAGTGCCTGGTTTTGGGTTAAAGATTATGAAATGACCATTCTTTGTAGGTCAGAATGGTCAAATGTTAGCAGTTACTTCTGCTTTAATCTGTGTCATGGGTGTTCATGTTTGCTGAATGACTAAAGTATTTGGGATGTATAAAACATACTTGATTCTTTTCTTCTGCATACTTTGAAAAATAATAGTTTAAAATTGCTATTACATGACTGTTAACTTTTGACCTAGGAATTTTAAAATAAAAGGATTATGTGAATTTAAGAAGTCATTGGGATTGGTGTGACTTCAGGATACTTTTATAATTTGATGATCTGTGGGTTCCCTAGCCTGATGACATTAAAATATTTACATTTGACTGAGGTTTTCTAAAGTTTGTTGGGAATCGGTATCATTGAATGAATTCTTGCTATTACTTAGCTTGTGACAAGCTCTAGAATTGCCCATCTGAGAAGCAAGTCAAGTGGCCAGAGAATGTCTTTGTGCCCTTTGAGCCGAGGACTCATGTTTGGAAACTGCACTAGTATTTGTTGTCTTCTGTAACTTAATGTACTCAGCTGATGTCTCTAGATGTGTAGGCACACAGGCTCTCAATGCAGTTCAAGAAGGTTTGACTGGAAGCTGACCTGCCCTGATTTCTAGCCCTCTGAGATGAGAGATCTGTAGTTTTCATGGTCTCCTTGAAGAGGTGCCCCAATAACTTTTACCTTTCCAGTGGTCTGGAAAGGTTCACTGAAGTTCTGTAAATAAAAATTATTTGTGGGTATGGGGGCCTAGCTAAGTGAGCTTTTTAGATGTGTATTGGTGAATTTTTTATGTAAGTTAATTTGAATAGAATTGCCGTCATTCAACAAGAAGAAAAGAAAGAATGTGTGTATTATTTTATCAGAACAAGATCTCAGGAATAAGATACAGATGCCCACTCTTGTCACTTCTATTTACATAGTAGTAGAAGTCCTAGCGAAAGAAGTTAGGCAAGAAAAAGATTTAAAAAGTGTCCAAACAGGAAAGGAAGAGTTGAACTTGTTGAAGTTTGCTGATGTTTTATGTATAGAAAACTGTAAAGAGTTTACCAAAAAACTGAGAACTAATTAATGAATATAGTAAAATTGCAAAATACGGAATCAGCATACAAAAAGGCAGTAGTGTTTCTATACACTAACAAACTATCTTCAAAGCAATCAAGAAATTAATCCCATTTATAATACCTATGAAAAAATCAAGTACTTAGACAAATTTAATCAAGGTGAAAGATCTGTGTACTGAGAACTATAAGGCATTGATGAAAGAAATTGAAGACACAGATAAATGTAAAGATAATCCGTGTTCAAGGATTAGAAGAAACAGCATTGTTAAAATGTCCATACTACCCAAAGCCATCTGCAGGTTTAGTGCAGTCTCTATCAAAAAATCCAATGATATCTTCACATAAATAAGAAAAATCCAAAAATTTGTATGAAACCACAAAAACTCCAAATAGCAAAGGCAGTCTCGAGTGGGAACAAGTCTTTGAGACATCACATACCTGAATTCAAACTATCACAAAGCTGTGCTAATGGCATAAAAACACACACCAACCAATATAACAGAACAGAGAGCACAGAAATTAACTCACACACCTCTGGATGTAATCTGTTGATTTTCCATAGAGCTGCCAAGAACACACAATGAGGAAAGGACAGCCTTTTCAACAAAGGTGATGGAAAAACTTGATTTACTCATGCGGAAGACTGAAACTAGATCATTCATGTCATACTGTATATAAAAACTAACTCTAGTGGCTGGCACCGTGGCTCGCTTGGTTAATCCTCTGCCTGTGGTGCTGGCATCCCATATAGGCCCCGGGTTCTGGTCCCAGTTGCTCCTCTTCCAGTCCAGCTTTCTGCTGTGGCCTGGGAAGGCAGTGGAGGATGGCCCAAGTGCTTGGGCCCTACACCTGCATGGGAGACCAGGAGGAAGCACCTGGCTCCTGGCTTCGGATTGGTGCAGTGCTGGCCGTAGCAGCCATTTGGGGAGTAAACCAATGGTAGGAAAACCTTTCTATCTCTCTCTCTGTATATAACTCTACCTGTCAAATAAATTAAAAAAAATTTTAGTAAGCAAAAAACTAACTCTAAACGGATTAAAGACTTACACATAAGACCTGAAACTAAAACTGCTAGATGAAAATGGGAAAATTTTTCTTGACGTTGGTCTGACAATGATTCTCAGGTAACAGAAGCAAAAATAGACAAATGGAATTGCATCAAACTTGAGCTTCTACACAGCAAAGGAAGCAATAGAGGAAAGAGATACTCCACAGATTGTGAGCAAATATTTGTAAGCCAAAGGTCTGATAAGGGGTTAATTTCCAAAATATATAAGGAACAAGGTTCAAAAGCAAGAAAAGAAGTAACCTGATTTAAAAATGTACAGAGCCAGCGCCATAGCTGAGTGCCTTCACATCTGATCAGCTTGGATGATGCCCCTGGAAGGGCTCCTGGCTCCTGGCTTCAGCCTGGCCATTGAAACTGTTTTGGGAGTGAACTAGAAGATTGATCTCTCTCCCTGTCTCCCTCTAGCTCTTATTCTTGCTCTCACTCTGCCTTTCAAATAAATAAATCTTTAAAATAAAATAAAAATGAACAAAGGACCTGAATAGACATTTCTCCAAAGAGCACATACAACAACAAGGTTTTGAAAAAAATGCTCAGAATCACTAATCACTAGGAAAATAGAATTTAAAACCATGATGAGATATCACTTCACACCTTTTAGAATGATTGTCATCGAAAAGATGAAAGAAAGATAGCAAGCATTGGTGAGGATGTAGAACAGAAGCAACTCTTTTACACTGTGGGACTGCCATTTTTCAGAATATGTCCAGAGGATACAAAATCAGTGTATAGAAGAGACATCTGCATTCTCATGTTTACTGCATCACTATTCAACAGCCAAAATACAGAATCAACTTAAGAGTCCATAAGTGATAAATGAAGAGAAGTGGTGTAGTTACACAATGAAATACTGTTCAGCCTTAAAAAAAAAAAAAAGGAATTCTGTCATTTGTAACAACATGGATGAATCTGGAAGATGTCACTGTGCTCAGTGAAATAAGCCACACACAGAAAGACAAATAGTCCATGATCTCATTTAAATGTGGAGCCTATAAAACAATTGGATTCATAGAAGCAAAGAGTAGAATGGTGGTGACCTGAGACTTAGGGGATGGGGGAGAGGGAATGGACAGATGATGGTTAGAGTATAAAACTTAAGTTTGTTAATATTTATTTCACAGCATGGTACTATAGTTGATAATAATGAGTAAATTTCAAATGTTCTCATAGTGAAAAAAAGTATTTGAGGTGATGGATGCTGACCACCTTGATTTAATCAGTCCACATGGTATGCACATATAACATCGCTTTGTAACATATGAATATAAACATTCTAATTTGTTCATTTGCAGTGAAAATTGGGTTCTATAAAGTGATTGTTTCAACATGCCATGGTCTTGTGGGCATATTTCTCCTCAGTACTTTAGTTGTCTACTTTTATTTTTCACTAGATTGTCTTCCTTTTGTTGCAATATGACATATATAGAAAAGTATCTTTAAAAAATGACAGATTTTACTCATAGGTGCATATCTCCTTGTAACTGTCACCAGATTGAGCTTGTATAGAAATTTCTGATCCTGATGGCTCCCTTTATATGCTCCTTCCTAATCAATACATCTTAATGCCAGAGATAGCCATGATTCTGATTTCGACACCATTGACTATTTTTGCCTGTTCTTGGACATCTTAAAAGTGGAATAATACTGTATATATACTCCTTTGTCTCTCATGCAAGCTAATGTCTGTGCGATTTATCCACATTATTGGAGAATATATTGAGCAGCTGTGTAATATAAGCATCCTCAGCAACATTTTATTACTTCTGTATTCATTTGATGTTGATCGAATGGCTATTTTGTGTCCAGCACTGGTTATACAAGGATGTATCTTCCTAAGGGAGTTGAGGAGTTTATAATATGGGGAGGACCTGATTTTAATTAACTAAGAAAATAAAACTGATATGGTAACAAATTCAACAGAGGAGCAGTATACAGTGTTATGAAGGTTTGTAAGAGGCATATTTAGCTTAGTCTAGGAAATCATGAGCATTTCACCTGAGGAAGTAGAGATAAGTTGGATCTGAAGATGATTCTTAACAGATTTCTTAGCAGAGGGCAGGACGTATGCAGAAGTTCTGAAGGATGATGGGATATGTGAACACTGCTATGTTTAAGTGGCTAATGCAGAGGAGGAGCATGGTACAAAATGAAGATGGAATGCTAGCTACCAGCAGATTTTGATGATTAGTATGGGGTTAGTGAAGGGAGATGTTGAAATTGACTTTTAATTTTCTGACTTAAGCAAACACATTGATGTGGGAAAAAGGAAAGAGATCCATTTGGAGGAGTGTGGA